GCTGGGCGCAGCAGGCCGCGAGCGCATGTTTAGAAACGAAAAGCTCGCGGCCGAGGAGTCGATCACGCGCCGCAAGTTTTGGCTCCGCGCGCTCTTCCTCGCCGCGGGCCTCGTGACCTTTGGCGCCGTCATGATCGCACTCGACAAGGACCGCAAGAAGGGCACGAACCTCCGTCTGTACGACTACAACCATGGCACGATCGATGACGAGCAGTGATGCATCCGATTCCCTCTTAATATATATCTTCTCCATCATAACTTTGCTTGTCATCGATACGACTTCCACACGAGAGGAACTTCAACGATCGCACGGTAGAGAAGCGTCAACTCGAGCTCGCGAGACGGCGGGGCTCCTGAACGAGCTGGGCACGGATCTCAATTGCTACCAAGGGTATGTACACGTACATATAGAGCAGCAAGGAGAGCTTCCACCTACTAACATTTATTTATGAGACGTGTGGCCGAGCCAAGGGCTCCGTGCAAGAGCTCATCGTGCCCGTTCGTTACCGGGGTGTGCAGACGAGGGGCAGTCGGTCGCCGCGAGCTGATCGCTACCATGGGTGTGGATGGCACTGCCGCATCATGCCTTCCAAGCGGCGCCAGTGTAGTAGTGTCGTATACAACGCCGAGCCATGAAGGTGAGACGGCCAACGCGCCACGACGATGACACTGTAATCTCCGTGGCGCGCTTGCTTGCATGATCGCCTGAGTAAAGACTGTGATCATTGCAGTATTCGCTCAGACGACTCATGCAAGCAAGTCACGGCCGAGATACGACACCATCAACCGCGGCTTGAACGAGCACGCAAGCCGCGTGCGTACAGGGCAGCGCCATGGCCGACGACATCCACAAGGCGACGTTCTGGAGGCAACCGAGCCGTGTTTTAATGCCGCCGAGGCAGACGACACTGTCCGACACGAATCGATGTGCACGCAGATGATGGGGATGGCCACCGAGCTCCTTGGATGGATCCAGAATCTTAGCGAGGAGCGCAACATTCGGCTCCACATTAACAACGCCCAGCCCAGCCGACGCGCAGCGTCCTGAAGGATACCCGCTGTTGTGCAGCTTACAACGTTATGGAAGACGACTTATGGACCTCCTTGGGCCCACGGTGCGAGCTGCGGTCGGGCAAACGAGCGTGCTGAAATCATCGCCCGTTTTGTGTGGCGTTAATACTTGGTATGGACAACCTCCTACCGGGTCCACTACGGCCTTTTACAGTGAAACCAATGCAGCCTTGCCCCATACGAGGCCAAACGTCACACCCGCTTCTTGTCGTCCTCTGTATTACACTGCATACCTCCCTCCATTCACGCAAAAAACCAACGTCCTTCTCTGGGATCCATGCAGCGCCGCCACTCGGACGGTGACGCCGTGCACGTCCCTCCACGAAGACGGTCCAACGTCTGGTGTTCAAATGAAACAACTCTTCCTGCATGAGCTTGTAGGTGCCTGTTGCGCGACGGCCGGCTCAGGATACATGTACTAATTCTAAGCGTAGTACATGTACGTACCGTCGAACTTGTTTTTAATTGCATAAAATCTCTGCATCGACCGCGGCGCCGTGGTGTCAGTTGATTAAACAGACGCAGGCGCTACATAGTTTCTATCTTTTAAGCTTCCAAACGAGCCCTTTCCTTGTTCGACCATCGAAAAAGCACGTTGGCTCCACCAGCCATCCTTGTAGTAGCCGTCGTCGGTGGCAGCTGACAGCGACAGTCAAGGGCAACTTGCTCGACAGGAAAGGATCATCGCGTGTCGACGGTACCGTGTAGGCAGTGTGATAGGTCCATTTGGTGCCTAGATTCACAGACGTAATGGATGTCGTATACGCTTTGCCCAGGTACACGACGTCACTATGGCCAGCTGTCGCGCTATGCCAAGCTGTAGAAGCGCCGGCTGCAGATAAAATCGCTCCAATATTTTTTTATGATTGATATATAGAGGCGGCGGTTCTGGATGGTTGCCGACCTTGGCGCTGCAGTCGTTCGCGGTCGGTGCTGGGGCGATCTTGCTTCAAGTTCAAAGTTTGTACAGTCATTTTCTGCCCACCATGGGAAAAGGGGCCTCGACACCGTAGGAAAAGGGCGGGCCTCTGCAAAGGAAAGCTTCGCCGAGGAGTGGCATAGGCAGTGACGGGCCACTGTGTCTCGCGTTCTGGGTGCACGTGCATACCCACGATGCCCACAACCACCGGCGCCAGATTCCGCCAGATTCCAAACCAGATTCCTTCCCGAGCCAAATGAATCCAACGTGAATCTGGAGACCATATGTCTCGTCTTCGACAACACATGCTACACGTTACCACGCCGGCGAAAGCGCTGGAGCGGAAATGTGTGGCCTTTGGCTCGTCCACACAGCCTCAACTCATTCTCGCATTTACCGCCTGAGCATCACCGACTACCATGGCCGCCTCCAAGGAAATCAGCCTCCAGTCGTCCGAAGTGCCACTGACGCCGTGCAGCCCGTCGCCGGACGCGCCCTTCAACGGTGTCGACGACGCCGAGATCCAACTCGAGGACGAAGACACGACCTTCGCTAACCTGCCGTGGCACATGCAGCTGGCCTGGGGTATCTTCTACCTCGTCCTCGCTTTGAGCTCGCTCTACTTCTTCATGGTTGCCGTCAAGTGGATCGGCGAGTCGTTCTCGCTCCTCCTCGGCTGCGAGGCCAAGGGCGCTTTCGCGTTCGCCGACAACCCGGTGGCCGGCCTTATGGTTGGTATCGTCTCGACCGCCATTCTGCACTCGTCCGGCACGGTCACGTCCATCATCGTCGCGCTCGTCGGCTCCAAGGGCCTCACGGTGCGCCAGGGCGTCCCGATCATCATGGGTGCCAACGTCGGCACGTGCGTGACCTGCATCATGGTGGCGTTCGCGCAAATGGGCAAGCGCGACCAGTTTGAACGCGCGATGGCGGCCGCGACCGTCCACGACATGTACAACATTTGGTCGGTCATTATCCTCTTCCCGCTCGAGCTGCTCTTCCACCCGCTCGAGCTCCTCGCGACGTCCATGTCGGGTGGCCAGGCCAACGCGTACTTCGAGTCGCCCGTCGACATCGTTGTCAACCCGCTCGCGTCCAAGCTCATCCGTGTCGACAAGTCCATGATCGAAAAGGTCTCGCTCGGCAAGGTCACGTGCGAGAAGGCGGTGTTCCTCAAGGGCGGCGCGTTCCTCGACTCGTACAAGTCCGGCTCCATGAGCGGCGGCGCCATCGGTGGCATCTGCCTCGCCATCGGCTTTACGCTCCTCGTGCTCTCGCTCCTCGCGCTCGTGTACATGCTCCAGAAGCTCTTCCGCGGCTCGGCGCAGAAGACGATCCGCAAGGCGCTAAACTTCAACGGCTACGTCAACATCCTCCTCGGCACGCTCATCACGTTCTGCGTGCACTCGTCGACGGTGGTCACCTCGACTTTGACGCCGATGGCCGGCCTCGGCCTTGTCACGCTCGAGCAGGTCTACCCGATCGTCATTGGCGCCAACCTCGGTACGACCGTGACCGCGCTGCTGGCCTCGTGGGTGACCGGGTCGCCGGATGCGGTCGCGATTGCCTTGGTGCACTTTTGGTTCAACATCCTCGGCATTGTCCTCTTCTACCCGATCCCGATCACGCGCAAGCCGATCCTGGACTGGGCGCGCCGCCTCGCGTACTACAGCGCCCGCTGGCCGGTCGTCGCCGCGCTCTTCCTCGTGCTGCTCTTTCTCGTCATCCCGGGCCTCGCGCTCGGCCTGACGTACCTCTACAAGGCCGGCACGGTCGGCCTTGTGCTCGCGATCTTTATCAGCGTCGGCGCGGTCGCGACGATCGGTGGCTTCTACTTTTGGTACCTCAAGAAGGGCGGTCGCAGCACGTGGCACGCCTTCTTGGAGCGCAAGGCTGAGGCGCACGAAGCCAAGATGGCCGAAGCCGACAAGGTCGAAGCCGACAAGGTGGTTGTCTAATTAGATGCCTGGATGTAAACTAAACGAATGTGTATTTTTCAATTGATTCTGGCTCAACTATCGTCGGTCGCAGCGGGGATGGATGAGATATAGCGTCGCAAATTGTATCTTCTTGACGCTTGGTTGCTTGGCGATGGGGTCGAGGAGGCTTTGCTGGACGCTGCGTGCAAGGGTATATAATAAATGCATCTATTATATACCCTTGCTGCGTGTTTCCTCACCTGTCTTGGAACATACAAACATGGGCGTCAGGTGGGTGTCAGGACATACATATTTATTGATCAAGATCCGTCGAAGTGTGCTTGTGAGCGCTGGTGGCATCCTCGTCGTTGCGCGGCTGCACCGCGTCGTCGCGCTGCCGTGTTTTGCTTGCTGACTTCAAGTCACGTTAGAGTCGGCTACAAGTTCTATAGTGCACAACTCGAACCCTGGGTCGAGCCGACGTCTGCTGCTTTCGCAGACCACCTGCTCGTCACTTGTGCGCCGCACGTGGCTGCCACCTTGACTCTAGCCTTGGTGGACTTCAAATTCGACTTCAAGGACATACCGCTGGACGCACGCAACATGCACACGGAGCTTGCGGCATGCACGAATCTCCCACCGCTCTGTGTCACGTAGTAGGATGACGACGTCATCTAGAGCATACTATCCGCGTGATGGCAACCATCCAGGGCTCTTGGAAGCCAAGCACGAACCCACTGGCAAGAACCCAAGCTTGGCGGATGATCTAGGCCGTGGCAGCCATCCGGACTGTATCCGGAGAGTTGGCGCCCAGGCATTGGTAGAAATTCGGTCGTCATATTTTAATACAAACCTCAAGATAAAACGTGGCGTTCTACGGTCGCCTTTCGAATGACATGGCGATTGGTCCGTCAACCTCCTCGTCGCCTCTTCTTTGCTCAACGTCAAGCCCTTTGCAATCTTCCCACTATATATATATAAAGGGCACTCGTCATGATTCGAGCGCACGTTCCGAGCTTAGGACTCTGCACGCGTTGTTGTGGCCGACATGACGCTCTGGAGGACGACAACGTCACCGATGACGTGGGTCGTGACGTCAGCGGCTCTCGCTTTGGCCACATGCAGGCAGTTGTTGTCCTCGACAAAGCCTTTGCACTCGAGTGGCAGCTTGACGGCGACGTTCGTACACATTGCGAGTGCCTCGAGCAGCGCTTGCACGCCTCGGAGACGAATCGGGTTGCCCGAGAGATCGAGCTCGAAAGCGATTCGCGTCTCGTGCAGTATTGCAGCCAGCACCGCTGCGCCGTTGGTGCCGATGCCACAGCTGGTGAATCGCACGCGGTGCGCGCCGGCGTCGATGCAGCAACGCAGCGCCTTGGCCGGGGCGCTGGCGTGGGCACCAAAGTACCTCACGTCATGCCACGTGACCGACTCGAGATGACGTGAGCGCGTGATCCAGGCGAGCGTCGTTTTGAGACTCATCTCGGACAACACAACACAGTTGAACGTGACCGTGCGAAGTGTCGGCGATGACGACAAACTCGGCCGATTCGCAACAACGCCGTGGAGATCCATGTGCTCAACGCGCAAGTGCTCGAGCACTAGCGACTGCGAGACCATGGCGAGAATGCACCGGTACTGGCCGAGATCAACGTTACGCATGCTTCGGAGCACCAGTGTCTTCAACGCTGGACGAAAAAGAAGCCCGGTTGGGGTGTAGCGCTCGAAGACCGTTTGCTCCGCGATGTAGGTGACTAGGCGGATCAAAAACACAAGCGAGTGGTCGATGCACAGGCTTGAGAGTGTGGGCGATGACGCCAGCGCACGCACAAGACCCGAGTTATTCGGTGCGACAAAGTTACGGAGTGCCAAGGAGCGCGCGTGGCCAGACGCCAGCCAACGCTGCACCGTGGTCATTGTGGAAGCTGCGGGAACGTGCCAAAATTGAAGGGCTGCGAGCTCGAGCTCCGAGACGCAGTGTGCCGGCGACATCACGGCCTCGAGCAATCCGGGCTCGTCGATTGTGACGCAGACGCGTTTGAGAGGCGTGCAGCGGGCCAGCGCGCGGCAGTACTCGTCGCGGTGCTTGGAAAGGCACGAAGCGGTGAGGTCGACGGTCGTCACTTTGGGGGCCCACTTGGCGACAAACCCACAGAACGGCACGTTGAAGTTGGGGTCGCGCGGCCAGCGTCTACTATAGCACAGACCTGTGATGCGCACCGCGTTGACGACGTTGATGATGGCGCCAATGCGATCAATTGTGTCGTCGTCGAGGCGGTTCAGACACAGCTCCGGCCAGTGCGTGGCACCGAGCGGCGCCGACAAGAGCTGGAGGACCGCCGCCAGGCCTGGCGAGCGCATCGCGGCTGGCAGCGCCTCAAGGAAGGAGACGACATCGCGCAGCGCCAGCGTGTACTGGACGATTGCCGTGGGCACGCCAGCAAGATCAAGCACGGAGGCTTGGACGTGACGAGGCCGTTGGTGGGCCATCGCGAGCTTCATTGTTTGCGGAAGCTATGCTTTCGGTATCCGGATGAAGACCAGCACTCCGAGCGCCCAGGCTCTGTGTAGCGACAAGAGAAGAAAGAACTATCGGAGGAGCTGACGTAGCTCTGTCTTTAGGAACGAGTTAGCTATCGACGGAGATGAATTCGTTTGGTGCCTTTCCCTATTGCGATAGTCCAACATCATGCATGTACACACATCTACAAACATCAACTCAACTATAAGATGCCTAAGACGAGACGGACCCTGCGGGAATCATATCGTCCATGGCTGTATGAGCACGATTAATCAAAGACAAAGCGGTACTTGGGGCAATAGTACAGAAACACCACGAGGCGCTTGTGCTCGGCGGCCTTGGCGTCCCAGTACGCGTACGTATCCCGCTCTCGCTCGCCGCACATGTCCATCTCCACGTACTGAAGCGTCACATTCATCGCTGCGAGCGTCTTGACCTTCTTCGCCTGGCTCGAGATCGGCCACGCTTGCTTCTCAAGGACGATCCAGCGCAAGGCCGGCGACGCCGCCTGGAGCGTTCTCACGAGCTCGACGAGGTCGTCGAAGCAGCGCGTCAACAGGTGCAGCTTGATCGCGTGCAGCTGTGGGCAGCCCGAGAGCGCCGTGGCCAGCCACGTCATCGCCTCCATCGTGTCGGCAACCGCGCTCAAGTATTGCAGCTTCGGGCACTGCGTCAGCGCCGTCGCCAGGGACGCGCCGATGAGTTTGCTGACGCTAAACTCGTGCAGATCAAGCTGCCGCAGCGACACGAGCCGCGGCGCGATCGCGACGAGTCGGTTCAACATCTTTGTATCCAGCGCACAGAGCTCGATGCGCAGGGTCTCGAGCCGGGCCAAGGCCTCGTGCGTCTCGGCCAGCTGCGTCACGAAGCGGCCTTCGAGCTGCGTGAGGCGCGGCGCTTGGCGCAGCATCGACGCTACACTCGTCATGACGGCATCGGAGCAGTCGCGGAAGAAGAGTTCGCGTGGGGTCGACACTATACGCTCCGTTGTCTGCTTGGTCCAAGGAAAGAGAGGCCGTACCGTCAAGACGCAAGTGCCGCAGCTGATGGGGCAGCTTCTCTTGTTGGAAGAAGCGTGTGCTAATGTCGTTTGTCTTTTCAAGGCAGAGGTCGTGCAGCGTCGTGGAGGCTGCGATCGCCTTGCACAACTTGGCGGCGTCGGCGGCGGGCAAGTCGACGAACTCGGCGTTGGCAAATCCAAGGCGTGTGCACGAGCCTTTCGTGAGCATGGCCGCAATGGCCGATGCGGCGGACGCGGGAAACTTGCCGCGTAGCACGAGCGTTCTCAGCTGCGCGAGCGGGAGCGTGGCAAAGACACCGGCGACCATGGACATGGTGATGTCGGCCCAGTGATGCGAGTGCTCCAAGACGAGGCTGTGCAGGCGTGGGCATGCGCAAAGCATGCTTTGCAGCGCTTGGATGTGACTCAGGTTGGTGACGACCGTGACGTGGTTGACGACGGGCTGGAGCCGACGGAGGAGCTCCCGCGGCGTCCAGACGTCGTGGTCGTCTCTGTTCGTGTCCTTCATGGCTACGATCGCGCCGAGCGCTTGTGCCTCGAGCAGGTGCTGCAGCGTCGCGTCGTCAGGGCGCGAGAGGACATAGACCTTGGGCCACTGGATGCGGACGACGTCGGGTAGCGCGGCCAGCGCCGCAATGGCAGCCAAGCTGGGCGTCACGGCCGAAGGCGGCAGCGAAGCAATGAACTCGGTCAAGGACCAAATGTGCTGGACGTAGCGAGCCATGAGCTCGACGAGCTCGGGCACGGCGAGCACAGCAGTCGGGTTCGGGCGTCGGCGGGTCGTCATGGCTGACGATGGAATGCACGTGGCAAGGCCTTGCGTTTTCCACGCGCGGCTATTGGTGGAATATATTCCAAACGACGGGATTGGATTGGTCCATGAACTGTTTTTCGCCGTGCACTCCTAACCGACACGAGAGCCGCAAGGTTCCGACTCGCAAGATAAAGCTTGCGTTCAAGCTCCACGCAATTGAAGGCAATTTGGAGATGATTTCCTTGTCGTCAGTGCTCCATTAGACATCGCTTCCATGTCGTTTGCAGCACGACCGTTCTCTAGTAGAACGGAAGTGGGGCACTTGATCTTTCGAGGTTTGTCGTCAGAGGTGTGGCACTCCAACTCACAAGTTAAGACGTCCAGGGCCATCGAGAGTCACGTCGGCGCCATGCCCGCCACTGCAGCTAGCAGATCGTTTGGAGCTAGCGATAACATGAATTCGTCCGCATATTGCTTCGACTAAAGGCACGTGCCTTGTCGGAATCGCGCAGGCTCGACCAGAAGTAAGCCGACCAGGTTTGAATTCGCCACTCTCAACGCCCAAAGCTTAAGGAAGCGTTGACCATTGACCGTTCGTTCTTCTCCAGGTTGGAGAGCTCAATCGCCGATTCGCCACAGAAAGGCCATGAACACCGCCGCCTCCCTCGCCGCGACCTGCGACGCAAGTGCTTTGCATCGTACTACTGACGTGACTGGTGCCAACTGGGATCTCGCCGTCATCGTGGGCTGGGACCACAACGACACGAGCCGCTCGGAATCGAAATTCGCGCCACCAGCGTCGAGGTAACGCTCTACGTCTCTCAACACCCATGGATTTATGGCTAGCAGCGAACGTGCCTCCTCCGAGCAGCCCGCCTCCACCAAGTGACCCAGAGGGTCGCCTAGGTCGCTTGGCCCAGGAGGCTATATTCTGGGTCACTTGGCGGAGGCGGGCTTCTCGGAGCCACTACGTTGCATGCTAATGAATCGCCACGCAGCTCAGTAACGTGCCTCCACCGAGCCCTCGATTCCCACCTCGGACATTCAGAGCGGAGCTGCTACGCGTGAGCAAATGGTGGTGTTCCGTTCCCTTCATCCTAGAGGATGCTCTTTTCAACTGACTGGTGCCTTGACTCGGGTGCCCCAAATGACGTTCCACGTGACGTATGAGCCCAACTGCTTCTTCTTTGTCCGCCCGCTGAGCCACAAGGTCTACGCGACCACGTACAAGACTGCACCAGCGTGTTTCGGCGTACCATCTCATGCACTACCGGCACCAGAAGGGTATGCTGAGCTAAAACACTAGAGATCGTTTCAATCGTATTGATCGCGTCTTGCCATGTTCAACCGGTGGTCTTCAAGGCGACACGCATCGACGCACCAAGAGTCTTTCATTTGAACTAGGATGCGGTCCACGTAACTTTGGACGTCTTTGACGTGGCGCAACAAGGCATCGGGGTCGACGGCGGGCTGCGCGTGCCCTTCAACGCAGAGATGGTGCTGGCGTCCTGCTCCGGCCACGATTACAACCCCGAGAGACAACGACCACTAATACAACCCTGAGAGAGCCGCGCTTCATATGACGTGCTTGGAAGCCTCGGGCCCTCGATGGTGTGGCTGCAGACGTGCGCGCGCGGCTCGGACATGAGATTCGTGCCGCCAGCGTCGAGGTCCACATTCTGATTGCATCATCCGTCATGGGGTTGAAAGCGCAAGCTGGCGAGTCGTCCACCTGCACTGCCAGGCAAGACGAGTCCCGCGCAGCGTTTTCAATACGAATGCAAATCTCTTTTACGATTCCATTGGTGCAATCAACGGCGCAAGTGCAAGTGGTTGCATGTACGACCGCCATGGACGTCGTCGCATCTTCCAACGCTCGCCTCGACGCGGCCGTCGAGGTCCTCTTCTCGCGGAAGGCAGCGCGCTCTGCCTCTTCGTGCAGCCGCTCGTCGCGCCGGACCTTCCCGATGTTCATGCGCGTCCACACCACGTCTTGTCGATCCGGCTCGTTTGGAACTCGGTCTGGAATGGCCTTGATTTCTTCTAGCCAATCACAAGACTTGGCCGACCTCGTCTTAAATAGTGCGAGCTCCATGCAGCACAACGACGAGTAGCAGCCCACAGACGCGCCAGCGCCACGTAGCAGCCGTGCATACCTCTTCACACACTTTTTGAATGACGTACATGTTGTTTCCGACGCCGCACGTAGCGCAATGACGCGCAAATCCATTTTCCATTTTTCGAGGTGGTGGCAGAATTGCCCAAATACTTCACGTGACATCGCGGGGTTCCAAAGCTCCAAGGACCGTGAAACTGGCTGCCACAGTTGGCGACGGGTCTCGACCCGGTGTGCGACCAGCTTGTTGGTCGCTGTCGTTGCTTGGGCACTCACACCAAACTCGAACTGCCGAGCGTCCGTTTTCAGGAAATTCGACATACAATTTCGGTTGGAAATGCGTCGAAATCGCGGAAACCGAGGACGCCGTCTCTTTTGGTTCATGTTAAAGAGCGTGTTGCATGTGGCCGAGGAAAGCAAAATGCGCGCGATACCGCTGTGTGATGAGGCCTTGTACCATGATACAGTATTTCGGTATAGTGAAAAACACACTATATCAAAATATTGTTCGCCGCTGTCATTTGCTCTCGCTACAGAGCTCGCGCGGCGACGTCACATAGCATTTTGGACTCCCCAAAATGTGGTCTAGCACGCTGGCAAGTATGGGCGATTTCATTTCCAAACTTCATTATGGTCGATCCGCCGGCACGGCGGGCCTGTGTTCACCAAAATATGGCTATTTATGGTTGTAAATGGCGAACGCCAATAATAACGACGCCAGAAAGACGACACCGAGGCTTCTTGGGCACTACTGACGGCGTCTTCGACGTCATGCAACGACGTCAAAATCTTGGATGTACGTACTTACACTGTCGCCACGCTTCACCCATGGCCGTGTGCATGTACTAGAAATGTTATCGCCTTCGCCGTCGACTTGATTGCAAAAGACAGCCAGTCGGAGGTTCTAAAGGACCAAAGTCTCGAGCGCTAAAGCGTGCGCTAGCGCGGCCGTGATGCCTCGCATCTTGTCGGCTCACTTGGCAATGAAGCCAAAGGCTGGGTCGCCAGGCCAGCGCTCACTCAAGCTGAAGCTGGAGATACACACAAAGGGATACCACAGCAATGCAGTCGATCTCATCGCTATTGAGACAGCTACCGAGTGACAGCGCAGGCCCGCGTAGACAACCGGACGGCAGCGCCTAGAACTTCAGCAGGGCCGTTAGCGCTATAATAGCGAGCGCGCGTCATGCGCCTGCAAAAGTGAGACGACGTGTTTGCGATGTTCATTTCAAATATGCGGATGATTGGCCGCAGTATCCGGATGGTTGGCCTCATTGCTTGATGGACACCCAGCTGATGGACACCGAGTGTCGATCGCTGTCTCCATCGTGCTGCAGGTGCAGTCGCCGTCCTCGTTCGTCGCCTTGAACGCGGTACATGGCACACCGCAATATGGACCTGGTATACGTGGCAGGCTGCGCGTCGTTTGTGGCAGCTGCCGAATCGTGCGTTAAATTCGGATGTATCCTTTTTAGGACACTTCAACTCGGATGTGACCTGATTGTATTCGCGCCATGGCATTCGAATATTCAAGTCGGCGGCAGGGATGAGCGTGGCCAGCAGCGATGGTCTCGCGCTGCAAATGTCGTCCGACAGCATCGACCGCTTCCTTCGCGAGAATGGCATGGACCTCAGCCTCCACACGCCCAGCGGAAGCGGCGACGACGACGACCTGAGCCTCTTGCGCGCCGGCGGCCACCCGCATGACGAACCGCTTTCGCTGGACGACTTTGCGCCGCCACGCTCTAGCAGCTCAACGACGTCGCCGCCAGCGCACGCCACAGGCGCCATGCACGAGCATAGCAGCGAAAGCAGCCTGCGCTTCGGCAGCCTCATTCGCGCGTCGCAAGGCTCCATGTTCGAGTCCAAGACCCAAGACGAACCACCGGCGCTGCGCGGTCCGCCGTACTCGCAGTTGCCGCGCCACCGCGCGTCCGAGTCGGCCTCACGTCCTTCGATTCCGCACAGCGCAGAGCCACTTCGCCGGCAGTCGTCGACGTCGTCGCGCTCGACCGTTCCGCGTGACGTGCCGGTGCGCCGCGTTCTTAGCCTCGCGTCGACGTCCTCGAACGCCTCCCACGAGCGCCAGGCCGAGAGCGGGCTCCGCGCAGTCTCGTGGTCGGGCCTTCAAGCCTCGTCGTCGTCGTCGTCCGGGTCGGAGCGCATGCACCGCGACGAGCTCGACGACCCTCTCTCGGAGCCTGGCAGCGTCTTTGTTGCGACACCGCCGCCAGGTCCGCCGCGCACGTCGCCGCCGCCTCTACGGACAGCCCTCGCGCCGTTGCAGACATCGCCAACGCGCTTGGTGACGCCGCCGACGCGCAGCCCGTCGCCGCAACGCGCGTCGACGCCCGACGACGAATGGTCGACGCTGACAACGCTGCTCTTGCAGCACGGTCTCCCGCGCGTGGACTTTGTTCCGGCCGACGCGGCGGGCTGCGCCGTTGTGCCCGAGAAGGCGTCGCTCATCAGCGTTGTGCACGACCTTGTCTCGCAGCTCGAGCGCCGGGGCCAGGTACATACAGTCGAGTAGCTTAGGTGTCGAGAATTGTGGTGCTTAGATCATCCAAGACCTCGTGCTGGACGCAACGCGCAACACCAAAGAACAGTCCAAGACCGAGTCGCACGTCCATTTGCACGAAAAAAAGATTGCAGACCTCACGTCGTCGCTCGCCGTCGCCCACGCCGACATCAAGCAGCTGCAGGTCCCTATCGATGCTGGTTCCATTCTTGATACTCATGACGTGGCGCAGCGAGAACGCGACGCGCTCAAAACAAAGACGGACCAGGACGCGCGGACGTGGAAAGTCCAGCGGGCCAAACTCGAACAGCAAGTCAAGGTCAGCGAACACCGCGTCAAGGCGAAAGAACTCCTCATCGATCGCATGCAGCACAAGATCCAGAGCCAGGTATCCGATCCGAACGATCCAAACCATCCTTGGATACTGGATACTCGATGTGGTGTAGATGGACAAAGACGAGCTGGCCAAGTCCCGCGACAAATCCTTGTTTCAAAAGTTCACGCAGCGCGAACCGCGCAAGAATAGCGCGTCGGACCATCAGACGATCGAGCTCATTCGCATGTACGAGACGCAGCGAGCGTCCATGGCGGACGAGATCGCCTCGCTGCAAGCCCAAGTGCGCGACCTCTGCGCCGACGTCCGCGCCAAAGAAAACAAGGCGCCCGTCGTCGGAGCTGGCGCACCGGAACACGTGCTCCTCGAGCGCTTTGAAGTCGCGCGGCGGGAGCAAGAGCGCGCGGCGTCCATGCTGCGGCAGCGCGAGAGCCGCATCCAAGACCAAATCGGCACGATCGAAGCCGAGCTCCGACACACGAAAGCATCGCTCAAAGAGCTCCAGGACGAGAACGCCAACTTGCACCTCGAAGTCGAGTCGCGGCCGACGATTCCAGCGTTCAAGGCGGCGCAACGGCGCATCCATCAACTCGAGCGACAGCTCGCCGACCACAAGCTCGCAATGGACGAAGCAAAGGACCTCGACGAGCTGCGCAAGCACACGGGCACGGCCGCGCTCATTCAGCGCGACCGACTGAACGCCAAGCTCGCGCTGAACCGGCTCAATGCGCTACCGCGAGAGACTGCAGTTGAGGTATTTAAACGCATTTTTTGCAGTTTGCAACTAAATGACGCGTAGATTGTCAAGGAAGTGTGCCGCGAACTCGACCTCTCGGACGTGACGCTGATTGTGCCCAGCTTGCGCAAGCTGTGCGTCGTCGTCCAGGCCGTGCCTCGCATGGAACGGTTCATCCGGGACGTGACAGCGGTCGTCGGCGGCGTGGCGCTCGAGGCGGTTGTGCCATCGCTTCAAAAAATGCAAGCCGAGCTCCAAGAGCTCGCAACGCTGCGGGTACTTATCATTTATTCAACTCGATATGGGACGCAACGGATGAGGATGGTAGAGCTTTCGACAAGCAATTTTGCAGACGCTACAAAAGCGCGCTGGGGCCGTCACGACACCCGATGCACCCGAGACGACCGAAGCCAACGTCACCTCGGTCGTGCACCGGCGCGCTCTGGCCACAATTGGCGAGCTCGTGGAGTTTGAGACTCATTTTCTGCAAGACAAGGAGATGTATACCCACGCCCTCCACAACGTCGAGGTATATATATTGACATTATTGGTGCTACCGACTCGACGCTTTGGTGTGCTTTAGAACCGTCCAGACGTGCTCGTTAACAAGATGGTCCAGCACTTTCGCCACCTCTTCGGCGTCAAGACCATGGAAGGTGTCTTCCCCAAGATCAACGTACTCCTCGATCTCGTCTTTCGTTGTAGAAATGTACGAACGGAAGTGGGCGTAGGAGGTGTTTTTGTTCGTCAACAAGATGAACAGCGCGCTCGATGAGCTCAAGACGACGCTGCAACTGCCACCGAGTACGTCTGTGACGGCGACGCTCGCTGCGCTCCAAGACAAGGTCGGCGCGTCGACGCCGACAGCCAGCGACCGCCCGCCCAAGCTGTCGGAGAATTACGTGGTCGACCGGCGCAGCGAGAACGACGTCGTCGGCCTGCAGCAAGTGCGGTTGTACTGTCACATCATCAAGCAGCTCAAGGAGGAACTCGGCGCGACGACCGACGACGAGATTGTTCCTCGAACCAAACGGTACAACAGCCCGTGGAATCCACGAGAGGTTCAGCTCTCGAGTAGGTTGATGGAGCTCCTCTCGCTCTCGTTACACACCACCCAGCCATGAGACGCAACACGACCCCTCGTATCTCGTGCAATGTTGCAAACATAGCATTCTGCTGCTGCATGCCCGGCACGGTGCGCCATCCCTCTTGGTACAAAGTCGGAAGGAAGACCTGCGACACGCGCACTAGCAGCACGAGGCGGCATGGGCAAAGCGACAAAACCGATCGATTCAAGTTGGTTGCGTTCGGTGGAGCTCCCCCACGAGACGCATGGAGGCTAGCCTAGGCCGTGGACGTCGCTGCTACGGGCATGGGCGTCACGACTTGCACGTCGATGCGCACCGAGCCGACAGCGATTGTCCACGTGCCGGGTAGGATCTCGGTGCTGCCATCCTGCGTCGCGACAGCAAATGCCGACGGCGGGAGGTCGAGGTGCCAGATGTACTCGTCGCCCGGCACGAGCGACGCAACCTTTTCAAACGCGACGAGCGACTGCTTTGGCTTGCCGTCAACGCCCGCGCCTGGCGGCGACGCAAAGCACAAGAGAATGTCGTCGCCAATGAGTTCGCCGACGTTCGTGATGCGAATCGCCGCGCGCCAGCGGTTGCCGGCCACGACCACAGTCGCATCATTATCATCATCGTCCGTAGCGACGTCGTAGCGAAACGTCGTGTACGACAGGCCGTGACCGAACGGGAAGACCACGTCGCCGTTGTAAAAGCGGTGTGTGCGCCCCGGCGTTCTCGCCGTCGGACGCATGTTCATGTCGCTCATCGTCACTTGATCGGCAAAGGAGGCGAAGTACAGCGTCTGGGAAAGACGTCCGGACGGATTGACTTGGCCAAAAAGGACATCTGCGATCGCAGAGCCGCCGGCTTGGCCGAGGTACCCGGCGTACAAGATCGCGCCGACTCTCGGGTGGTGCTTGATTTCGCCGAGGTCCACGGCGCCGCCCGTCAGCAGCACAACGACAATGGGAGACGCCGCGACGGCAACCACTGCGCGGAAGAGCGCGAGCTGGACGTCGGGCAGCCGCAGGTGCGTTCGATCCATGCCTTCGGCTTCGAGCGACTGGTTCAAGCCCAGAAAGAGCACAATCTGACGCGTCGTATTGGCACGTGCCAGTGCCATTGCCTCGTCGTCGACGTCACCGCCATCGACCGCGCACGCCGCATGAGCATCAAGGTATCTCGGCGACACGAAGGTTTCGACACCATCGAGCGGGCTCGCGATCGAGGTCGGGATGCCCGCGTAGCTGCCGAGCAGTGCAATTGTCGCGTTCACATGCGGACCCAGCAGCACGAGTCGGTGCGTGGGCGTAAAGGCGTTCACATCCAGCGGCAGCAGCTTCGTGTTGTGCAGCAAGACAAGGCTCTGCGCGGCGGCTTCGTACGCGAGCTGCCGATGCGCCGGCGTGTCAATATCATCAATAGTAATGTCTTGGTAGGGCCGCGTGCGCGACGGCTCAAACATGCCCAGCCGAAACTGCACCCGCAAGAGCTGCTGGAGCGCGCGCGTGGCGGTCGCAGGACGCACGAGCCCTTGGCGCAACGCCGAGGGCAGATGGGTCTGTACAAAGTCGCCGCAGTTGAGGTCCATGCCCGCACTCAGCGTCGCGTCGCACGTCGCAGCGGTCGAGTTGGTGTACTTGTGGTGCGTATAGATGTCGTCGACGGCGCCGCAGTCAGACACGACGTACCCATCGAAGCCCCAAGTCTCGCGCAAGAGCTCGGTGAGGAGGCGCTTGTCGGCGCACGATGGCACGCCGTTGACGGCGTTGTAGCTGCACATGACCGAGCTCGCGCCGCCGTCCCGCACGCACGCTTCAAACGCGGGCAAGTACGTGTCGGCCGCGTCCTGGGCCGACACGGTAGCACTGAGCGAGTGCCGGTCGACTTCTTGGCTGTAGGCGCTAAAGTGCTTGCAGCACGCGGAGACCTTGAGGAAGCGCTCGTTGCCTTGCATGCCACGGACAAACGCGGTGGCGTAGGCGGCCGTCACGAACGGATCTTCGCCCGGCGTCTCTTGCCCGCGGCCCCAGCGCGGATCGCGGTAGATGTTCATGTTGGGCGCCCAGTACGTCAAGCCGCCATGGCCCACGCTGTGAAAGGATCTATGTACGAAGCGATGCCGATCAGCGGAAGGCATTAACGAAGAGATGGACCTGGCCTCGGTCGCGATCACGCTGCCCATCGCCTGCCACAGCGTGCGGTTGAAGGAGGACGCGACGCTGATGATCATCGGGAAGCTCGTGGCCGATGTCGTGGGTGCGGTAAACCGCACGGCCGGCGAGAGCGCAACGCCGTGCAGACCTTCGCTCCACCAGCCGTACGGTGGCAGCCCTAGCACCTCGTCAGAGAATGCAACGCTGGGATCGCTGCAAACCGGCGCTAGGCGACCCCGTCGAGTTGTCGCCCAAGAGCCCGGGAATTTCGAGCAGCGGGATGCGCGCCACCAGGTCATCAACACGGGCACTCAGTGGCAGCATTGGATCGCAGAACGGGAGGCTGCGCTGCGGCTCGTTGTCGCAGACCTACGCTGGCAACTCGCGCCTCTTCTCACTCATAACCAAGACGCACGTGGTCGCTGGCGCCATGGGCTAAATGCGCTGCGAGAAGCAGCGCGCTCATCGAGGTCCATGGCGTGCGTCGGCCCATCGTCAAAGTCAGCCGACTAAGATCTCTGTCATTAAAAACGCACCCAACACAGCTAGAAGCGCACCAAAATCCACCGTGTAGGTGCTCCTTTACTGGATTCCCCGGAACATTCGACCGAATTCTAGCCAGGCCACCGCGATCACGGCGATCTTCCCACAAACCGTGTCAGGCAACGAAGCACCTCGAAGACGGACTGCCGATCGCTCTCGTCGAACGCGGCACTGATTCGCTACGCCTCCGACGGTCCGCAGCTTCAAGGAAGGGCGGACGCTTGCCCGCGAGCGAAATGTATGTAGATCCTGGCCGCTAACTTTTCGCAGGATCCTGCAGCCCTGCCTGCCTCTCCAGACCACGTGCTACTATAGCCGCCAGATAGAACGTCAACACGAGCAGAGTGTTTTGTTGCGGGGCGTGTTTCAAGAGCCAACGACCTTGTTGCCTCGCGTTAAACCGATGGCACGCGCTGCGCTTCTCGACCGTCCGTTTCCAGCTGACCCGACCGGACGTGACGCGCAGAACCAGATGGTTACGGTAGCTAATAACACTCAGATGCGGTCATGGCAAGTGAGGTGGGGACCATCGCTCGCTGCTTGCCACCGCATCTCGCCGGCTTCTGCTCTACCAGACAGGCGGCGTCCTTGCTCTGTCCACTGGACCATGGCCAGCCTGCAAAGGCCATCGCTGAGGCGTGGGATGTGGTGTTCTGATATTATTATATTACAACGTCGAGGACGACTAAAACTCTGGCAAGGACGACGACGACGAGGACATGATGTTGAGGGTGGGGAAGTAGCCCTGCTCGCGGCCACAGGCCGCCAGCGCACGCTCCTGGTCTTCGCCCGCTGCGAGGGCAAGGGCAAAAATGTAGTCCGAGTCGAGCGACGGCGTCGTCGGCGGCAGCGAGAACGACGACGACCGGCTGTGGTCGTCGCCTTGCGGCTCCTCGTCGAGCCGCGTTTCCAGCGTCGCGATGCGCCAGGCGTTGTACGTGGCCGCGGACGAAATGAGCTTGTCGTGCGAGACGTGGCTCACGTCTTGCTTGTCGAGGAATTCATAAATACGCGAAATGAGGTCCTTGGCGTACGAGGCAATGTCGCGAATGTCGTTCGAGGTGAGGTGCCAGAGCTCTTCGCCCTCGGCGCAGTAGATGCGCGACCGGCAGATCGGGCACGTTTGGTTTTGCGTGCTCCTAGCCGCATCATTGAATTACAAGAAAGAGGCCTCGATGCACCACACACCAGGTCTGAAAACACCGCAAACAAAAACTGTGACTGCACGGCAAGACAACCTCCTTCTGCTTGTCCATGCAGATCTGGCACTCGAAGTCGTCAAAGTCCTTGGCCTCTTTCTCGCTACAATCGTCGCATGCATGAGCCTCCTTCGCTTCGGGCGATGCGTACGTGTCGGTCGGGATCGTCAGCGTATGGACGGCGCAGTCGTTGACATCCGACAAGAAGCAGAGCACATAGTAAAACTGCTGGATCGTCAACAGCTTCGGCGTGCCAATCGTGTGCTACACATACAGCTGCATGAGCCTCGACCGCGAATGCTGTCGGCGGCTCGTACCTCTATGGACTCGAGGGCCTCCCATGTGTTGATATCGCGGGGCGGATCGTGCTCTGGAAGGCGGCGAATCTTGCGCGCTTCAACCATGACCTGCCGCGCATACCGTCAGGCCATGCTCACAACAGGCGCAGCGGACGTACATTGCCTTTGACCTTCCAGACGTAGGGCATGACGTCGGGCGCAATGCGTTCGTTGAGCACGAGGCGAAAGCGCAGCTGGCACGTCTTGGGCGTCGGGCAGAGCGTGGCCCTAGATCGTCGCTAAGCCTCTCCCAGCATGGCTTAGACGACGACTTCTACCATCGATTGGCATCTTCAATGTGTGTGCCAAGGTCCATGTACGTGCGCATCATGCCAGATACGCGGTCGGCCATGCGCGCTTCCTCGGTCGACGGCCGCTGGCCCATCTTCGTTCCTTCCGGCGGATCTGTTACTCGGTTCGGAACTGAGCCTTCTTTTTCTCTCTCGCTTGGATCTTCAACGTTTTTTTACGAGTAATTTTATTCCGCTTTTATTTTAAACTTGCTTTTTGTATGCTGCTTGCCGTGCACCACAAGCGTTTTCAGCACATGCCGAAACGACTTGCGCTTTGTATACCAAGGATCGCGGTCTTGCGGCGTGCATAAAAGAAAATTCAATGGGTCACACTTGAAGCCACATGGAGACAACATGGCAACGCGAATCACCTCTGCTAATAGCCCGCGACGTCTCTGCCTGCTGCTTTTTCCAGCCCGTTCCAGGCCGCGAGATGGATTGATTTGAATATTTTTCAAAAAAAGACCTTCACTCTGGTCGGTTTGCGCAACGCGAATTCGGCCCAGAGCCTGCCACGTCATTGCGGAACCGTGACGCAAGGCCCCGGGGCACAACCAAGTACCCACCGACGAGCGTGCCACGTCACGCCAGTGATACCCGAGTGCTGGATTGTTGAAGCCGACGCACGTCCAGAGAAAGGCCATGCATGCAAGGGCGTTGGACGATGGTGTTGCAAGGGATGCCCATGGCGATCGCACGCGGGTCGATGCCACTGCCGAAACGACGGCTATAAATACAGCGCAGCGCGATGGACGACGCCGACGGGCGGTGGCGAGATGAGAGTGCGGCCAAGCTCAGCGAAATCACGCCCGTCGAGTATACGCGGCCACAGGTCCTTCCGGACGCGACCACCGAAGAGGCCAGCAAGGAGCCCTATGTGTTTGAAGGCGAGAGCTTCTGGGACGCCGCCGAGGACGAGCACACGCCGTCCAACGACCTCGACTACTGGGGCATGGCCTACGACGAGAACGCACAGCAAACGTACTACTTTGCGTTCGCGTCCGGGAAGACACAGTGGACGCCGCCGTCGCACCTTGGTACACGTTTGCGCTGCCCGCTTGCAGCGTCTGAGAGGGATGTAGTGTACCCCGAGAGCCACCAAGTGCTGCTATGGGACGACGGTGCGCAGTGGTTCTACATTTACGACTACGTCCACGGCTCGAGTCGGTGGCTGGATCATTTTGAGGACCTCCAGGAGCGCGGGTCGCCCCAGCCTATGAGCGACGACTGCATGAGCCAAGGTGGGACTCTCGTTGGAGTGGTGATTATACCATGGGACGCTGTGCTTAGCTACAACCGAAGAGCTTGAACTCGAGACTTTGGACGACCGCCGACAACAGGTACGTACTTCTTCCACGCATCCGCGGTCCATGTCACGTTGACACGCGGGTCGTAGATCCTCGCATCCTGGGACGAGGCGACGGCGTCGGTCGTTGAGATTGAGATTGAGATGGGCGACGACGACAAGATGACGGCGACAACAAGCAAGTGCTGTTGTGGCGTCGAGCACGGCTGCGTCTGCCATGAGTGCTTTCTGCCGCTTCTCGATCGTCTGCCAGAGGATAGGACACGAGAAGGCTACTAAATATACTACCAAATGTGTTACGGGAACACGAGGACGTTGACGGTAATGTCGTCGACAACGTCTTCTTCGTCGAGCCAGCGTTCGAGCGCTTCGGCGACGAGCATATCACACATCGTCTGCGGGTCGTAGCCGTCCTGGAGGCACTTTGTACAGAGCGCGACGACCTGCTCCGAGGGTAGAAACTCCCAGAGACCGTCCGAGGCCACGACGACAAAGGCTCGGGCACGAGTCGCACACACCGGCACATCCAGCTCCGAGCAGTCGGGGTCCGAGATAACGCCGACCGACGTCGCGACCGAGTCGCCAAACGACCGGGACATGGCCAGCCCCGGCATATCGACATCTTTCAGCCAGACGCGCGGGACACCCCACTCAAACACGCGGCCATTCGTGGCCAAAATACGGCTGAGCTCCGCGGGGACATCTAGCTCATGGGTTAGAACGGTCTAAGTATCCATGTTTCAAGCGGCAGCGACATACCTGGTTTGTGGTCCACCGACAGCGTGTGGGTCGTATACTCGTTATTTGCTGCGTCGAGAACGCCCGCGACAGCGCGGCTGTCGCCAACGTTGGCAATAAATACATGCGGCGCCAGGTCCGGCATCTCGGGCGTCGGCGTCACGAGCAAGAGCGCGACGGCCGTCGACCCGCTTACGCTAATGTCGAGGCCGCTCTCTTCCTCGAGCTGCGTCGTCATGCGGCACGACGCTTCGAGGAAGACATCTTCGACAACATCGAGCGTCAAAAGCGTGTCCGGCGTCAGCGCTGGCACGTTGCGCTGCCACGCGTCGGCCACGTGCTGCGGGTAGTGGTCGCGGACAAAGTGGCTGACGTACGCGCCTTGCGAGCCATGACCGTCCATGACGCACACAAACGTGAGCGCGTCGCACTAGACCATGACAGTTTTTCAGATCTGAGTCGGAAATACGACGAGAAAATAGGGTCGTACGTCTGCAAACCGATCGTGGATCACAAACGAGTCTTGGTTCTCCTTGCGGCGACCCATCGAGTCGTTGCCGGCACGCGTTCGGGAGCCCCACCAGAGCCCTTTCGAGACCGACTACCATGTCAGAGCATGAGATATGCGGGCAGAAAGCAGGTGGTATCGTCGTCGTCGTCCGTACGTAGAGGCCGCCGGGCGTCTGGCCCGTGTACTTGGGCAGCTCGATCGTAAACTCATCGACGGCGACGCCGGGAATGCCACCGCCGACGTAGACGTTGGGCGCGGTGCAAATGTCGAGCGTCTCGGGATCGATCGCACTTGCATTGTCATCGTCGTCGTCGTCGTTGTCGTTGTTGTCGCCCTCTTCGACCTCGACGCGGCGCAGTGTGACCTCGAGCGTTGTGAGCCGATCGGGCTTGATGAGCACGCCCGACTTGAAGCTGTTGCTGCGGAAGAACGTCTTGCGGCGCATCGGCGCCTGCTTCTCGTGCGCCAGAACGTCGTCGTCTACGCAAGACACGTGCGTCGCATGCTAGCAGGTCGTTGCCGGCGCGTACCGTCCATCGGGAATGGCTGCGAGCAGCACATGCTGTAGGAGAAGGCGCAGCCCATGCTAAGTCGAGCTCGATCGCTGGCCTACATGGGCAGGTCGTCGTCAGGCGCAGGGTCGCAGCAGCAGCATCTTGCAGACCGTGGGCGACTCCGAACAACAACCAACTGCACTTAGCGGATGAAAAACTCACGTGCACCCAAATACAATTCGCATCTTTTATTCTGGATACACATACCAAGAGGTTGCAGCCGATTGTAATAAAATCGACCCACCACCTGGTGGTCCCATCGAAACGCGATCCGGCCAACGACATCCTCGTGATCTCAGATTGCGTCGTAGAGTCGATAAGAGCTCAGAGCTGTAGGGCGAGTAGCAGCCTTCAAGACCTATAGCAGCAGCCAGGTATTCGTCACGAAGGCAACGCACTAGTCGCGTCGCACCGACTGGCCTCCACCACAACCGGATACGCGCATTATCCGGATACTGGCGGCGCGATCTTGACAGTACTCTTGACACTTGAACATCGTGCACCTTTCTTGATAAGCAAACGGTACCAGGAGTGACGCAGCTTTGATGCGCGTACCTTGACGCTCCGCCTGAACCCATGGCCTTAACCGGTCGAAAACGAAGCAGTCAAGATGCAGCCAAGGGAATCACGTCGGCAAAGACGGGCCAGTTTGTGCAAGTCCCTTGGTTCGTGCGAACGAAGTGGGCGAGATGCGCAGTACTACTAACTATACATGTGGGTAGTTAAAACAAGAGCGCACGTGCTTGCAAAGGTCTCATTTGGTTTGAATCATGATTGGATTGGTGGCTATAGGCTTTTCAATACGTTTCAAGTGGTCAACTTTGACGCATTCGCCTGGCGTCAAACGTGTGGCAAGTTGTTTGTTTGCAACCGTGCGCCGGCCTCGTACACAAATCCATACACATTCATACAATTGCTTCGCTAGAGCACTTCTATCTCGGGCACCAACTAGCATGACGAGATCTGAACTCTCTTCGTTTCGGTGCATTGTGGAGGAGTCTCGGTCAAGAGATTCGTCTGTGGTGTCGCTCACATTCCACAAAGACAGAAGTCGCGCTCGAGACGGTCTACATTGACCACCAGGGCGACGGCTGCTTGGGCAGCAGATCCAATAACTTTGGAATCGTCGTTGGCCAATCCGGAACGCTTTAACTTGGTATCTTGCACGTATGAAACATACTTTACTCGTTGCGACCTCAAAGAAAATGCACGGAACACTGCCCTTGACAACCGCGCGGCAACAATTTATGGCCAAACTGCTACCTTGCAACCATGCCCACCAGCGACTACCTCGTGACGTCGGTGGCCCTCCACACGGACGACATTCTATCGGCCATCGTCCAGTGCATTGCTGCGCCGCACGAAGTGTCCGTCTTTCTGGACACAGTTCCCGGCTGCGCGCGGAGCAAGGCGTTGATAGCGCTGGACGAGCTATTGCACGCAGAGGCGCTGCCCGTCGACGCTTTATGGCCCCAGCTCTGCCTGGATGCAATATCACTTGACGCCGTCGATCGTGTGCGCGATGCCATGCCGGCGTTTCCTAGTGTCGCCGCCGACAACCTCCTCGCCGCGCGGCCGGCCGGTTTTGACCCACTCGACTGGCTTCAATTCTGGAGCAGTAAAATCACTCGCTACACCCACATTGACGATGCAGCCGACGTTTTGCGTCTCTGCAGCATCTTGCGCCAATGCACCAAGCTTCAGGTCGTCGACATGCCGGACGCGATCGACGGCGCTTGCATCCTCGAGGCGATCATGACGCCGGCCCACCGCGTCAGCTCTTTTCTGGTCGATTGCACGAGAAACGTGACCGAGTTGACGGCGACGGTAGCTCGTTGGCTCACGACTCGCCACGCGACGCACTTGGATTTGACCTACGCCTCATCCGACCGCGACGCAGACTACGCGGCGCTGGCCGCCATTCTCATAATGACGACGGAGCTCGAACGTCTCACGCTCTCCTTGGATGCACCCGGGCTTCTTGCGCCGCTCGTTGGCGTCGCGCCCTTGTTCACTCGACTGAGAACGCTCGACATCTCGGTCCATGCGTCCGACATCCCGACGCTGCGATCGCTTTTGGAGCGCCTTTGTAGCACGCCGCTACGCTCGCTTCGTCTCGACTGCAATCACGGTGATATCAGTGCACTCTTGGACGTGCTTTCGACGCTGCCAGCGCTGGACGACCTCGAGCTGTCGCGTTGCTGCTTTGATCCGACACGCTTGCGACCATTGTTCCCTCGGACGCTGCCACGCCTTCATTTTTCCGACATGGCGTGGACAGACTATGCGTGGTCGGTGCTGGGCGTTGCCTTGGCGAGCGCACACGGACTCAACGAGCTCTCGTGGCACTCTTGTCGCTCGAGCACCACAACGTCGCTGATGGCGGCGATGGCGGCGACGATACCTCACTGGATTGAGCGTGGCGCCAAAAGCATTTCCTTTCACGAGTGCGGACAAGACGTGGGTGCTCGTGAGCTGGCAGCGGCGCTTCCTCGAACGACGAGCTCGCTCGGCGTCGACCTCGTCATCAGCGGCGTTCGGTTGTCCACGACGAGCTACATTTTATTTGGTATGTCCCTTGCGATGTGCGCAGGCGTCTCTATCGTGCTGCCACGAAACAACAGCGATGAGTTTCGAGCCGAGGCCAAGTCCCGTCGCTTCAAGTACCGCGAAGTCGTCGTCGATGGCCGTCGCCGTCTCGTGTTTGAGAGTTCTAGTGCGGCGTAGACTTTCTCTATTAAAGATAGCACGCACAAAACAAGCATCTCGAGCAACACAATAGGATACAACAAATGCCAAGATCCAACTCAAGTATTTGCATACAGTTCATGTTGACTTTTTTATGAAGCGCTCTTGATGGGGCTGCGTCAACGGCGCAAAATCGGTATCGACTCAGTACTTGACAGCGTCGATCCACTGGTTCGTGTTGGCGTTGTGGCACTCCCACACCTGCGCCGCGTGCGTCGGGTTGGTCGGGTCCACGTCCAAGCACAAGTTGTTGTGCGTCGCATGCTTGATCTTGTGGTTGGCCGCGTCGATGATCCACTTTTGGTTGCCGTTGGTGGCGTCGCAGGCGTACGTGTGCAAGCCGAACTTGTCGCCGTCACGGTACGCGTCGAGGCACTGACCGTTGCTAGCCGCCTGGAGCGTCTTGGCCGCCGAGTCGTAGGTGAAGAGCTCGTTAGCCGTGTCCGAGGCCCAGTTGGCATAGACACCCGAGTAGAACTCGGAGAAAACCTTCTTGTCCTTGGTGGTGAGCTTGACGTAGCTCTTGGCAGCCGGCGCTTCCTCGCACTTGGTGAACCACTGGCTGACACCGCCCGTGCAGTCGGCGACGAACGGGGCAGCGCCGGGCGTGGCGTGGGCCGACTCGAGGCAGAGGTTGCGCACGGCCAAGTGGCGGAGGCTGTGCGAGTTGGGTTCAAAGTCCCACTTCTGCGCCGAGCCGCCCGTGCACGTGTAGAGGCGCACCTGGTTCTTGCCCTGGGTGTCCTGGTACACGTCGAGGCACGTCGTGTTGCTGCTCTGCGACTGGATCGACTTGTCGTCAAAGTTGTACCAGAACTTTTCGTTCAAGTTCTTCTTCTCCGTGTCGACAAAGAGCTGGCCGTTCCACTCAGAGAGAAGGTTGTGC